AGTACATTTTTAAATTGATTTTAAAAAAGTAACGGAAAAGTAACGAAAAGTTATTTTTCAAGTAACGGTAACTGTAACGAGTTACTTTTAAAAAGCGATAACTGTAACTGTAACTAGTTACATTTTTTACTCGGTAACGAGTAACTGTAACTAGTTACTTTTAAAAAGTAACTTTCCATTCCCTGGATATAATGCAAGATAATTATAATTATAACACAATTTCATAAAGTTAACTGTAAATAATTTAACACTATTAATTGATACACTCAATCAATAAGTATATCGTTTTAGATAATTATTTTTTTAACCTTGAAAGGTTAATGTCTTTTATATCTTTCTGAGTATATTTCATAATTGCACTATATTTTTATATTTCTAAGTGTGTGTCACGCCTTTTTAATTAAATTAAAAAAATGTTTAACTTTACTGTATGAGAAAAAAGATCTCAATATAATAATTGCCATCTTAGATTATACATATAACTTATGCATTTTGGTATTTCATGTTTTATCTTTGCGCGCGCGCGCGCAATGACGAAAATAACTCATCTTATTAATATCATGTTACTGATTGGAATAATCACATAAACACTTGCAAATGATGCCAATATAAAATGAAATAAATGTATTCTGAGCAATATTGAGACTCAATCAGTCTTATCGTGGAATGTTTGACCCATGCTTCACTTGATCACGACGTAGTTTATGGCGAATATACATATAAATGTTACTAACATATTTTTCAACAATATTTAATACACTGTTACAATAACGATTGTGTGGGTACGTCAGTATTTTGATAATGCAAACGATAATCTGTGCACTAAGAAGCTGGCAGAAATATCGATTTCAGTAAGAAAGAAGATTCGATGAAGGAAGCATGCAGAACAATTATTTTTGTTTAAACGTCACGTACATGTGATTTTTGGTAAGAAATAAACTGAAAAAAGTGATACGTTAGAGTTTATATTTGGCATCGTTTGATAAGTGAAGTGTTGATTAAAACTATGTATAATTTTGGGTGAAACAGTGTTACTTATTACAAATTTTTAATACTTTTAAGGCTTTCACGGGTATTTTCTTCAGAGGTACCAAAGGTTCTCGAATTATTGTTGTGTCATGATCCATTGTCAATGTCAACGTTTCGTGAACTTTTACTGTTTACAAAACGTTGGTATTACTAATGGATCACGACACGGTGATAACCCGCAAATTCTTTAACACCTCTGAAGAAACAAAATTTATTTATTAAAATATTACAATCTCGGCAAAAATAAAAATCAGATAGTAAATCAAATATATGAGAAAAATGTGACAATTGCGTAAATGAAATGAACGGCTCCTTTACATTTTGTAGTCTCAATTTTTATTTCCTAAAAGCTTCGTTTATGCTTTTACCGCTCTTTTTTTAACTTACGCTCTGATTTTTACTTTCATCAGGAAACCACAAATTTGTAAACTTAAATTAAAAATTTTTGCAATTGTACTATGTATAGTTATTTTTCTAGATCTTTGTCTTAATTTCTACATTCATTGTCAGTAGTTTTACACTAATCATACAATATATATATATTATGAAATATATGGATATATATTTATATATAACAAACTTAAACGATTTAGTTTAAATCAATACTGTGAAAGAAATATATATTTTATAAAAGAAAAAGGAATAAAAAATATCTAACTCTATTAAATTTTTATTAGAAATATTGTGATAATTTTATTTTTACTTTTATACAATAATTTAATAATATTTAAAACATTTAAAACTACATACGCAGTATATAAATTCACACAATATAATAAACATTAACATCTTGTTTTCAAGACTCGATTAGGCTTTACACTTTCTAAGATTTTTAAATCATACGAGTCAATTATTATTATCTTTCGATTATAAAACATTTAAATTTAAATAAATAATATTTTATAATATTTAAAAATAAATTATAAAACAATATTTAAAAATCGATAATTATAATATTTCTGTAATATAAAATACACTTTATCTAGTTTAAAACTTTTTTTATTGTTGACTGATTATTTTTTCAGGTACAAGTGGATATTATATTGTTTGAAGTTTAATTTAAAGGAATCACACAGTTATCAGTCTTTCATGGATTCGAATTTATTGGTCTTTATAATTAACCGATCTACAACTTTCGATGTATATTTAAAAAGAATAAGTTTTGGAGACGAGACTTACAGAAGCAGACGATATTGCAAGTGGAAGGTCAGTGTAGATAGTACGGGGCAAAGATGGCTTGCTCGCTTGACTTCTTTGCTGGATGTTTGGGAGGTAAGTTTTGTGTATATATACAAATTAAATTATTGATTTAAATATATTTTTTAAATTACTTGTGTTTTTTTTTCAAGTGTTTTGATATAATTGATATATTTGATATATTATTAAAATTATTTATTGCATGCCTTTAAAATTTGTCGTTCGCTTGATAAAAACGTGCAACAAATAATTTTTTATGTGATTAAATAAAGTTGTTTAAATAAAAAGATTTAATTGCGTTAACAGCAGTTAAAGTTATTTGTTTTTTATACAAGGTGTCTCACGGAGTGTTAAAACTAATCAGCTATCATTTTTAGTTATCAAATTCAGTTATTGAAAAAATAAAAATTACATTAAAAAGTTTGCAAGTTTTAATATAGGTATAACTAAAATCTTTTTTTTATAAAATGTTTATATATCAGTTTACTCATAAAAATATGCTAATAACCGTGTGTATTCCATAATAAACAGTGTGTATTCCATAGTACATGATTTCTGATAGGTTGAAATTCTTATTCTCTGTTCTCTGTTCCCTGTTCCTTTTATTCTGCGCAGCCCTAAGACTGCAAAAACCGATAACGAAACTGTAAATTTTTAATTCTTTTCCGTTTTTTGTATTGAAATGTAGCTAGCATCCTCCGTTTTTGTCAATACTTTAATTATGCAGAAGGATTTTTCCATCCGTAAATGCAATTAAGAGAAACGAGTCTTTAACTAATAAGTAATGGAAAAACAGGACACTCCCGCATATGAAATGTATAACAGAGCATAAGCATAAGATCGCTGGACCAATGAGAATCTTATATAAATCAATATGGGGACTTTATGCTGGATGCTCATTGGTCCAGCGGTCTTATGTTATGCTTATGTTAAACCGTGATCACACTAGCGATTGCGCGATTGTGATTGACGATTGAGAATTACTTTTCAACTAATTAGAACAAAGCAGTTACCGATTGCTTTGCTCTAACTGGTTGAAAAGTAATCCTCAATCGTCAATCACAATCGCGCAATCGTTAGTATGATTATGGCTTTATAAATTTTGTGCAATACGCTTTAGAAGCGCAGCTATTAGAAATATAATATCATCATAATATTAAAAACGACATTCCAGATAACGAGCTGACGTTATTTGTCGTCATTATGTTCTGTCACAATATAAACAAACGAGTTTTGCGTATATTTCTAATTTTAAAAATTAAATTGCTCATCGACACTGTACGAATACTTTTTACACCAACTATAATATACATATATGTATGTGTTACACACATACAAACATATTTTGTTAGATTTTATTTATTCCCATTATAAATTGTAAACTTTCTTTTTACAAAGCAATTTTTGTTTTTTCAATAATTAAATATATTGAAAAATTACAGTTGATTAATTTCAACTTTCCACATTTTCCTGTGGAAAATTTTGTATAATTTATACTTGAGTTGGTTATAAATGATTAGTAATAAGAAACAATTATCTTATCATGTGACTTGGTTATTACAGATCAAGACTAATACATTTAAGAAGCTTTATAATTCCATGTTTTATCAAACTGATGCAATTAACAATTCTGCTATTTTATATCAGTTCACGTTTCAACTTGTTATATATTATTAGAACAACAAGTAATATTTTTAAAAGAATTTTTTATATCAAATTATTCTATATTTTCATTGCATTAAGGCAAGTTTTACAGATATAAAAAATACTGCACGGCAATATGAATCCAAACAATATGAATGCATAAAAGACGTTACAAACATATGCTATAAAAACTTCTCTTATTATGTTTGAAAGATAGAGTAAAGTCAGTATTTACGAATTTTTTATAAGCAAATTCATGAGTAACTATATTCTCCTATTCTTATGAGATTTACGTCAAAAATATAAGGGTTAAAAAATTTCTTTAGAGATATTAAAAAATATTTTTAATTTTCAATCTTTTTTCTAGTAGACAATATAAAGATATTATTGGTATACGTATATTTACCTTAAATATAGTAAATAATACTTGATAAATTAAGTTTTTGACATTTATCTACTTATAGATAATCTACTTATACCGAGTTACTCCTATCTAAAGACATCTTTGAGACTGTTATGAAGGAAACATATTACATAATAAAATCCATCTTTTAAATTTTAGGATGTGCCGGTATTATGGTGGGATATCCTTTGGATACGGTCAAGGTCCATATGCAGACTCAAGACTGCCGCAATCCAAAATATCGGGGCACCTGGGATTGTTTCCGAACCATACTCGCAAAAGAATCGGTAATTTACAACAAATTGAATTCAAAGTTTAGTCGTTTTTACATTTGTAGACAAAATATTATTATTACTATTTATATAAATTTGAATAGGTGACTGGCCTTTATAAAGGAATGACTTCGCCAATCGCAGGGGTGGCTGTGGTAAACGCCATCGTCTTCGGTGTTTACGGATATACTCAGCGGAACCTGTCTGAACCTGATCGATTGTCATCCTATTTCTTGGCTGGTGCATCTGCCGGGCTTGCTCAAACTCCTGTTTCAAGTCCACTAGAGTTAGCAAAAACACGTCTGCAACTACAATCCACGAGCCAAGGTAATTTTCAAGGACCGATGCAGTGCTTGAGGGACATCTATAGGCAGCATGGTTATCGTGGCGTCTTTAAGGGTCTAGGTATTACATTCCTTAGGGAAGGACCGAGTTATGGCGTGTACTTCGTGACCTACGAGATACTGACTAAAACGTCTTCGAAGCAATCGATTTCGACGTTTCATATGTTATTAGCCGGAGGACTTGCTGGTACAGCCTCTTGGGTGATTTCTTATCCTATTGATGTCATCAAGTCGCGCATACAAGCGGAAAGTAGTAATCGTTACTCAGGGGCTTTGGATTGTCTCAAAAAATCTGTACGGGTTGAAGGATATAGCTGCTTGTATCGGGGTTTGAATTCGACGATTCTTCGAGCGTTTCCGACGAACGCGGCAACTTTCGCTGTAGTTACATGGACGTTCCGATTATTTGGTGAACAAGCAGATGAGATATCAAAGAGGGACGACGTCATGTCAAGAACAATGCAGACAAAAAATCATGCGGCAAAAGGATATGAATCCTTTGCTAGTAAGTGGAATGTGTTCTTCGATAGTATTTCGAGAAGTAATGGTTTTGTTACTCCGTCATACTCCGTTGGATCTATGTTGCCGATTAGCAGGCAACTAATGCCAAAACCTAGTGCCTGCTTACTTCATAACTACAGAAAATCGGGTTGTAAGTATGAGAATGTATCGAAGCAGAAAAGTATATCTGAGAGTTGGGAGGAGAGAAAAAGAAAATTGCGAAACGATGAAGGAGCTGAGGAGGATGACTATGTTGACGAAAAAAAAGACTATGGCAATGTTAAGATAGTCATAAACACGTGTACTTGTAATCTGCAACGTGTACTCGAGGTTCCAAATTTAGATAATACATGATGTCACCCACAGTTGACGAAGTCTAGTACGTAATGTGTATTTTTATTGCAACATGTGTAAACAAGGAATATACATAATATCTATTTAAATACATTTTTCTTTTATAATTAATTTAATGACGAATGCATATATACATATCGCTCCTTAAAGTATTAAAAATGATACAACCAAAAAGATGACTTTTAATTATTACAATAAATAAGTTATGTAAAAACATTACCTTATCAATCATCAAAAGCAGGATTGCCACAAGTCAGGGTCAAGGCGATCATTTGGCTTTTGATATTGTGTTCCACGTTTAATTGCACAATCTGTACTTTGAATTAGAATAAATGTATCTCAACATTTTCAAAAACTTATTCATTTTTTTTTTAATTTAAAATGAAACTTTTTAATGAAAGATATAAAAAGAGAGAGATAAAATAAAAGTCTGTACAAGATAGAATAAAAAGAGACGCAGAATTATGAGATTTCTCAACTATGTTCTAATAAAATGATAACAAGATGATATTTTGAAAATAAGCTCTCAACATTGGACTCCGAGATGTTGTAAAAGTAAATAAAACGTTAATGGACATACATGCATGTACAGGGTGTTTCCGATACATACACATCATTATGTCGGGTTGCCTATCTGATTATCGGCAGGGGCATGCTCATCCGCAGGAATCTGCTTATCGACATAGTAATAAGAATAAGATTAGATCGCAATTCTGGCGGGGAATAAGACAAGATAAAATGTATTTTACAATCTGAAATAGTGTAAAATTCAATAATATAATATAAAGTATGTATTTAATAATTAAAATATATTTTCCGACGGAAATTGATACTGTAGTTCGTAAGAAGGCACTCACGCAAATAAGTCTGTATGTTCAAAGAAGAATACTCAAAAATTTAAACCTTTTTATGTAATAATGATATATTACTATAAAAAGTAACTGATATATTATTAATTAAAGGTGCCAGTACAAAGTGAATATTCATAAATTGTATGTAACTTTCAGCCGATTTTCGAATCGTCTCTGCCTTCCGCTGCCCCCTCACCTCACCGCGCGCGGACCAAATGTCGCACAATGCTCGAGTGACATTTGGACAGCGGCGGTGAGGTGAGGCGGCTGCGGAAGGCAGAGACGATTCGAAATAATATTATGATCTGCGCGCGGTGAGATGAGGGGGACAGCGGAAGGCTGAGGCGATTCGAAAATCGGCCGAAAGTTGCATACAATTTATGATTTTCATTTTGTACTGGCACCTTTCATTAATAATATATCAGTTACTTTTTATAGTAATATATCATTATTACATAAAAAGGTTTAAATTTTTGAGTATTCTTCTTTGAACATACAGACTTATTTGCATGAGTGCCTTCTCACGAACTACACTACAGTATCAATTTCCGTCGGAAAATATATTTTAATTATTAAATACATACTTTATATTATATTATTGAATTTTACACTATTTCAGATTGTAAAATACATTTTATCTTGTCTTATTCCCCGTCGGAATTGCGATTTAATATTATTCTTATTACTATGTCGATAAGCAGATTCCTGCGGATGAGCATGCCCCTGCCGATAATCAGATAGGCAACCCGACATAATGATGTGTATGTATCGGAAACACCCTGTACATACATAATCTGTAGCTGCTATTCATGCCGCATACGAGCCCCTACGGAACAGCAACGTATTCATAGACTATATAGATGAATAGAAGGTTGTCTTTTCTATTTAAAAAAGAGTTCAGAATTAGCAATATAATAGTGTCTTTCGAAACTCTTAATATTTTTAAATTAGAAATAAGATGTAAAAAAATTTCATTCAGAGATTAAAAATAATTATTTTTTGATTCTCTGTCTTATCTAGGATAGTACTGTTAAAAATCATACTGATTCAACCATTATTATTTATTATTAAATGGTATTGAGCTAGCATATAATATTAAAACAATATCGAATTATAATATTTATAGATACAATGTTGATGATCAATTCTCCATATATCATTCTAATATTATAAAATTGAATCAATATTGACATATACATATACATATAGTAGTCTGCCAGTATTAAAATTTTGAAATTCGATAAAACTGACCGAGACATGTGAGCTATTTATTGTAAATCCCCACCTAGATAGTTTGATTAAAGTATGTTTTTATGTTAAGAATGCAAATAAGTTGGAACTAAATTAAATTTACAAATTTATTAGAAAAATATGTATATTTTTAATACAAAAATTAAAGTAATTGAGTAAGCAGTAAAATGATCATAAATTTTAATGTAATAGGTATATTATATTACAAATATTAATCTACTGGGCGTAGATGCTTATAATGAAATTTGTAAAACGTTTTAATCCTCTTTCTATTGTTTTATTATAGCTGTTTGATTTAATCGATATATTAAGACAAACATGCTTTATAAATTTTTATAATTTTTATTGATTTGTATCTTTAAAATGAGTTAACACAATTTATACTTGCACAAGCTCGCTATGAAGCAGGAATAGAAGGATCTCTTTTGTCAAGCAGCAGTCTTTGGTTGATTGGCGGACATGTAAGACCACATGTCACTGCCAGCGCGATATTTATTCGCTTTTAAAATCATTACAAAATAGTTTGTATTTTTCTTACAATCCCCTCACCGATCTTATTCCCCCTTCACACTCTTTTACATTTCTTCAGTTTACGAATTGGTCTTCAATCCTTCCCCGTCCACGTGTCAAAATTTGACACATTCCAAATTCGCAGCACATATGAACACACACGGCAGTACTTTACAACCATTGCCAATTGTTCTCAGCAATTGATTGCAAATAGGACTTTGTTGTAACCACGTTTTTATTCCAAATTAAAAAATTATCAAGTTTTAAACTATTGTTATTAAACCTGCATCACGACTAATACAATTTGTTAACCTCTTGTGCGATTGCTCTAAATTTTTAGGAAACATTCTTACTAGGTAAGTATGTAAGCTAAATTAAAAAATATAGGATACAGTTTTTGAAAAAGCATCGTAGTATAGATAAATTTCAAAATAGTTTAAATGTATTTACATTTATAACATTAGCATAAAATTTCAAAGTATCGGTAAGATAATTTAATTTTAATAATATAAATTTTCTGCAGGCCTTTTTATTTTTCGCAATATTGCAATACACTTTATCTATATTTAATATTTACTAGTTGTTTTTTCATAGGTTCCTCTCTTGAAGAAGTCAATTAATTTAATTAAACTATTTAAATGTTGTGATTCATTTTGTATCGCTATCTTTGCGGAAACTAAACCCTACAATTATTCAAATTTTGATATGGATGCAGAGTCAACTACTAGTAATAAAAAAAACGAAAAATATAATACAAATAACCAACGTTTGATAGCCGAAAGTGGTGGACGTTGTATGAGTACACAAGCAATGCAATCGCTTTATGATTTCCGACAGAATAATCTGCTTTGCGATGCAATATTAAGACTAGAAGATGGTGGTGTTTTTCCAATTCATCGAGCTATACTTTCGGCATGCAGTACTTATTTCAGGTTTAATTTTAATCGACGTATTTTTTCTGGAATTTACATTAAATTATTTTAATTTATATACAAAATAACCGATTACTAATAATAATTACTCTTTATATAAAAATAATAGAAAACATTTTAATAATTTATTACTCGGATTTGTTATTACTTGTTTTTGTAATAAAGTTATTAATAAATGTTATGCAATAAATATATACACATTTACTGTTACAATTTTTATTGGTTAATTAATTTTACAGGACATTATTTACGACTACATTGCATTCTCGTGAAAAAACTGATGTCCTTCTGCCAGGTGTGACAAGTCCAATGATGAATCTTCTGCTGGAATACGCATATTTAAGATCCATTGATGTGAATCGGGAAAACGTATGCGAATTGTTGACCACGGCGGATTATCTAAGCATTGTAGGTGTACTCGATTTGTGCTGTGACTATTTAAGAGATAATTTAGCACCGGAAAATTGTATCGGAGTGATGAGATTCGCCCGTCAACATTTCTGCAAGAAGCTAGAAAATGATGCTTACCGTTTTATTGTAGGACATTTTGTCGAGGTGCGGCTAGTGTAATAATTCACATATATATCATTTTTCATAATCTAATTTGTCTTGATTTACATTAGGTGTCACAAAGAAGTGCAGAAATTTTGCATTTACCTATTGAGGAACTAAAACCGTTAGTCGGCGCTGACGAATTAAATGTTAAAAGCGAGCAGACAGTTTGGGAACTAGTTCTGAGATGGATAAATCACGATCCAGAATCTAGAAAAGATTATATCGTCGATCTAATGAAAAATATCAGACTTGGTCTCCTAGACACGCAGTTTTTTCTGGAAAATGTCAAAGATCATCCTTATGTCGTGGGCAATGATGCATGCAGACCTATTATCATCGAAACTCTGAAATTTTTGTATGATTTAGAGATGATTACTCAAAAAGATGGAGAAGTACCAACACCGGAAATTGCACGACCCAGAGTCCCTCATGAGATTCTGTTTGCCATTGGTGGATGGAGTGGTGGTTCACCAACAAATTATATCGAGACGTATGATACGAGAGCAGATCGATGGATTCCGGTAGTATTAGACACTTTACAGTTTTTCCAATGTAATTTTAATAAACTTTGGATATTGATTTATTAGCAATATTGGATTTTTTATCAACGTAACAAAGCATAGAAAAAGTGTAAAAATTGCAAAAAATATGAAATTAAATATATTATACTTATCTAGTTTGGAATTTTCTAGATTTGTGTCGCGATTTTTTAGTAAATATAAAAGGCGAGGTATAAATAAATAAATTATTTATATTGTTTTTTATTTATATCACGCGACTCATGAAAAATCGATCAATTAGTGGGATGTGATACCCATCTTTAATCTAATCTTTAAAATAATAATAAATCGAATTATTGTAGTTTTGCATTATTCTTGAACCGTACGCTGTACGAAAATTGAAGAAAATGTCTACTTCATCTCAATGAAATTTTAACAATTTATTTGTATAAAATCTTGAGTTTTTTAGATCGAGGAAACAGATCCGACTGGTCCGCGAGCTTATCATGGACTGGCGGTGGTTGGTTTTGATATCTACGTTATCGGAGGATTTGACGGCGTCGATTATTTCAACAGCTGCCGTTGTTTTAACGCGGTGACCAAGGTGTGGCGAGAGGTTGCTCCCATGAACGCTAGAAGGTCAAATATATTTCAAACGGGCTAGTCACTACTCCTGTGTGATTTGAATAATTTTAATTTTATTATTGACTTATTTCTAATAAAGATAGTTAAAGAAATAGAGTATTGAAACATAAGATATGCGTTTACAGTTGTGTTTTAATGTATATTTTCAAATTGCATAATCGCAGTAATAAGGTACGTACAACAGACAAAAAAGTTATATAAAAACATAAAAAAATAAAACTGCATGCAAACGTTGTACAAATATAAATTAAAATTTAGTGACTAGCTCCCTGATAATACCGTTAGCAATGAAAACTAGCATCAGAATTTTTTTATTGTCGCAGATGTTATGTCAGCGTAGCAGTCCTAAACAATCTGGTTTATGCAATGGGAGGATATGATGGATACCATAGGCAAAAGACGGCTGAACGCTATAATTACAAGACAAATCAATGGTCTCTTATTGCGTCAATGAACGTACAGAGGTCTGATGCGAGTGCAACTACATTAAATGGTACGATTTGATTTTTTATAAGATGTCCTGATATACCATATTCATTTTAATTACCTAAAAGTACTGGCTGCAACTGCATAATTATTAATCTCTCTATTTTAAACGAGATAGATTTTTAAAATGTCTTATATTAATGATATAAATATTATAATAATAGATATTTTGTAAATTTTTTGAACTTTTCAATAACGTGTGAAAATCATTTCTGTGTATAAAAACAAAATAAATGTAGGTACAAGTAATTTTTAAAAATATGTACATTAAAAAAGAAAAAAGAATACATATTATAGTAAAATTACTTATTGAAAAGGAATAAGTCCAAATACGCATGTATTATAAATTTTTAAAATTTCGAATGTTTTTAAGTCTATTTCTATTATATCATATAAAAGCATTATACAGCTTGTTGGTAAATTTTTTATATGTGCTACAGATAAGATATATATTACGGGCGGTTTTGATGGGCATGATTGTATGAATACGGCCGAGGTATATGATCCAAGCACCAACCAGTGGACAATGATAACAGCAATGAGGTCACGAAGGAGTGGTGTGTCGTGCATATCTTATCACGGCTGTGTTTATGTCATTGGTATTAAGACATGTACTTATTACAAGAGAATATTCATTACGACATTTATGTTATTTAAGTATAACACGTTTATACGTAAAGAAATTAATTTCGAAATATTCTTTTTCGTGTAAAACTATTTTAATATGAGTGTATGTGTATATATATATAATATACACGATATGTATATATATATATACATATACTATATATACATCACTAACGTATTAAAAATTATTGTCATAAGACATAAGAATAAATTAAGTACACAAAAACATACAGTGTTGACTCTTAATGGCATTTATAACTTATTGACATATATTGTACAATATATGTATATATGTATATATTTATACATAATATACATATATGTATATAGCTTAATTTATTTTATAATTTAAATTTCTCTTATAATTGTTTTTATTGCAATATTATTTCATGTTATTTGTCTTATTAATTATGAAAAAGCTAACAATTTTTATTAACGAAGGAGGATTTAACGGAATATCGAGGATGTGCAGTGGGGAAAAATATAAACCATCTACAAACAGCTGGAGCCATATCCCCGATATGTATAATCCGCGTAGTAATTTCGCCATTGAAGTTATTGACGACATGATTTTTGCTATCGGTGGTTTTAATGGTGTTACTACAACATACCAGGTAGAATGTTACGACGAGAAAACAAATGAATGGTAATTATTTCTTTGCATTAATCTTTTACTGAATTTTATAAAATCTATATGAAAGATTAATATACAGTTAATACGCTAAAAATAGTTGCATATTTAGTAGCGATTTAGTAACAATTTAATAAATATTTGTGTAAAAATCTCAACATCAAATTTAGTAACAAGTTCACAAGTTTCATTTTTCAAGTATATGTTATATTTATATAGTTCTTATGTTAGTTCCTACAACTGTAAACATAGGTACGAAGCGACAGACATGAATATATGCAGATCAGCATTGTCGGCCTGTGTGATTATGGGTCTTCCAAATGTATATGATTATATTCATAAGCACCGTGAACGCCTGATGGAGGAAAAGCGTCAGAAGTTACTGGCACACGAAGTACGTCGGAGTCAGCATCAGCAACAGCAACAGGAGCAACAGCAGACAAGGCAAACTTCGCAACTCAGCCAAATCATACCGACACCACCACCTCTACCACGCTAATAAAATGAGAAGGATAATAATAATGATCGGCATAAAACCAAATATCATTATTATGTAAATCAGTCATATATAACATCTGTTCCATTTCATTGCTATACAAATTTTGGATTATTGCCAGACATGGCAATCAGAAGAATGAAGATTAATTGATCAATTGTCAACACAAAGAATTATTTATATATTTGGCAATGACTTTATATTTTTGACTACTTACAAAGAGAAGATTTTATTATGTATTTATATGATTTTCAGATTACCATTTACCCATCTTTGTTAAGTTAAATCTTTTTTGATACTGCAGATATTTCTATTGAATCTTTTTGCAATTTTACACGTACGCTATATAATGTCATTTCAAATAATTAAATTGATTAAGGTAAACGATAATATAACTTACTTATTTTTCGTTTTGGAGATTGATGGTGTCGATTTAATTATTTCAATAATAAAAAATGACAGCGTAAATTACAATAAGTGTGTTTATAAAAAGTGCAAAGCAAATGATAAAATAATCCGTGAAATATAAAAAATAAAAATAAAATTTTATGAGATAATAATTTTCTGATAAATATAAGAAATCGCTCATGTAAAAGATGTTCATTTAGCATTTTTTAAAAACGATATTATAAGCGTACAGCAATACCGCAAGTAACAAAAAATAAAATTGCAACATATGTACAAAATTGTTGTTTATATTTATTTATAATATATATAATTATATTTATCATGCAAATAAGTGAAAGTCTGAGTATTGCATAACACTTATGCAATTGTATACAATATCATATGAAATGCTTTGTTCTAAAATTCGTTTTTTTTATGTTATAATTTAAACAAAAATTTGATAAGGTAATTATATTATAAATAAAAATCTCAAAAGTTTGAGAGATGTATATTTCCAAGAATATTAAAAATTTAAACATACGAATTATATATATAAACAAATTATATATATATGAACAAATTAATTTGATACTGTAAATTTATTGTTTGTAAAGTTGTTAAAAAAATTACTATAATTTTTTAGAAAGAGATGCTGAAGCCACCTGTATTACCGATAAAACTAGCGTTTTTGACGTTTTTGTTCTTATCTAATTTCTTTGTAGTAATTTTGTAGAAAAAAATTCCTTTTCCACGATTTAAATATATTCATGCTAAATGTATCTGTCCCTGGTCTGTATTGTGTTTCAAAGCTGGAAAAAATATGAAATTACAGATTTCTTTATCTTTTTTTTATTTTCAGCGTTGGTCACCATATTGTAGTTAAATAGATTAAAAAATCTATGATTTCATACTTTTTCCAGTTCTGGACATAAAATACTAGAGGCAGGTATATTTTGGTTTAGTTTACAACCTACGTTTATGAAGAAATTAGACAGAAACAAAAACATCAAAAATGCTAGTTTTATCGATAATACAGGAAAATCCAGCTTCACCTTAAATAGATCTGTTCTTTTTCTCTGCACTGTGTCCACAGTGCAATTAGTTGAAGCAAAACAGATATATGTTTGTTTCATTTCAATTTATTGCACTGTGTGCATTAGTTTAGTCAGTGCAGAAAAAAAGAACAGACCCAATCTGTAATGTACGAGAGAGAACTTCATTTAATTAAAATCATATAAGAAAGTACTATATATATAGCAGAATATTTATTTTGTAACTGAAAGTTTCCTTTTTATTGATTAAATTACACTGTTTAGATCCTAAATAACGACCGTATCTTTTGCAATTACCTGTAGGCTACATCATGTAAACAACTTTGTCTATTTTTGGTAGGCAAGGAAAGTTGAAATAATGTAGAATGGTAAGTGTTGGTGGCAGTGGTTCTTAGATCCGCACGCTCTCTGTAGAAACGGATCTAAAGTTACGAGTAAAATTTATTTGACAGTCTATTTCAGGCCACCTGATATCGTCCATCGGTTTAGTTTGCGCATGTGACGCATGTCTATAGGGTAATTAGAATGACCGTTCGTGTTGAGAAATAAATTATAATTTATGAGTCATCAAATATGCGCGCCGCATTGGAGCAAATGACACACTGGCATGTTCTACGTACGCACACTGTTTATAAATAAGTCAAATTTGATTTAACGATGGATAACATGTCAATCATGTGCGAAATAGTAGTTAGTAACCTTTGCCACGCCGCGCCGGTTGTTCCGTTCCTGAGTTAGCCAACGTGTATCGGTGTATATCGTAAAACGTGTGCATTTATAAGCGGAGACGTGTAATCGCCCAGTAGCCGCATATTCAAAGTCGGAGCAAGTCGGAGAACCGAAGGACTCCCGACTCCGGGTGAATTAGTGCCCCGAAACGCGCTTGTCAACGCGAATGCAATGGTGAGCTGAGGTGAGTTGAGGACGTTGAGGTGATACAGAGGCAATGGCGAAAGTCGCGAGAGGGTCCGATTCGGTGCCCATGATTTTGTTGTGCGAACATTGCACTAATCAGACGTTCAAACAAATTCAAGACTTCGTTCGGTGAGTCCATCTGCTTTGTCGATTAATTACGATGCTTCAGTTTTATTTCATAATTTTATTTCAAGACAGCATTTTTTTCATAATTTATCAGTGGTTCAGAAATATATCTTAAAATGACATGAGCATCTTCTTCTTTCTCTCAATAATAGTATATTATATAAAAGCCTTAGAAAAACAATATTTGTAAAGCATTTTTGATGACATATGCTGTTTTAGTCAGCATACTTTTTATAAATATATGACACAATGTATTATTTTATAATTTGTTTTAGGCACTTGAGAGATCAACATTGTTCCAGAGAAGGTGGATCTTTTGTTTGTCTCTATGGCTATAATGGGGTATGCACTAGTCTTCCTGTGGAAGGTGTTTCCGACAAAGATTACATAGCGCATGCCATGAAGCATGCAATTATGCAACAACAGCGAAAAAGCAATGGGGATTTATCTGAGGCAAGCTCATCGTGGACTGTGTATTCTGCTGCGCAAAATCTACCTGCTGTTCTAAACGATCCGTTTAAAGGAAAACAGAGTAACTTTTTAACTCGCACTTGGGGAGATGGATTTGTGGAAAAAGTTGATATTCCAAAAAGTCCATATCTTCCTGAAGTCACAATGCAACATTTTGAAATATATCTGAAAAAAATTACGAGGGTAATTATTCATGCACTATAATATTGTATAATAAATGTCATTAACATTTTACAATGTGTTTACCATTTCAGCAATAGTCTATATTTTATATTTGTTCTTCCAGAGATATCGAAAACACTCGCGTATGAATTTGAATGCCAACAGGCCAACCACTCCAAATGAATTGCTCCAAAATTTTCCTAATCTCAAGAAAGTGAAGTCATTAGGTAAAATTTTCTAATAATAATGTATTATAAAAGATATTGAAGAACCAAATTTAGTAATAAGAATATATCTAGAAATAAATGTAAAAATAATTTACTTTCACAAAAAATGAATTCAGATTCTATTTTATATGTCATGTTTTACTCTTTTTACAGATAAATACTTTTATAATATATTTTCTTATACAGATTAATCTATTTTTATTACATATTTTATTATATATTAAATTAAAATATATTTAAATTTAATTAGATATTAATTAGATATATTTTACATAAATATCAGATATGTTATATATTTATATATAGATTTAATTTATCAGCTCTTTTTAAGTTTTAATATTACACAACTTTATATTAGATTTTTATTGTTAGCCATGTAAATTTTTTAAATTGATTTTTCAATTTTTATCTAGTTATATAATATAATCCTTTTACCATTAAAAATTGCAACATTTTTTTGCTTCAGATCGACTACAGTTTGATTTAACTAATATTCCAAAGATCTTCTTAGTTCCAAACTTAGACCTTTCGCAAAAAGATAACTTTGATGCTGTGTTCCCGTTTACGAAAGATGGCCTCTTAATTGAAGAATGCAATATTGTTATACATGTGAAACAAATGCAAGAGAAGGTATTGTGATTATATGTATATAAAAGAAAAGAACAGATTTTGATGTTCATAAAATTTATTATTGTATCTTTTTTTATTTAAATGTTTATCATATTATTCTAAAAATAATCAGATAATGCATAAATATGGATAAAAATGAAATTTTTGATGTTTTAGTATTTGTTTTTAATTTATACAAATTATGTTGTTACAGCTCAGTCACTATCTGGACGTTGTAGAAGTCCGAATAGCGGAGCAGGTTGCGTCAAAATCTCAAGCTTTTTTTCATGCAATGACATCTCATGATGTGCTTATGGAACAATTAACTCAAACTATTACAGTTCTAAAAGCACTTAGGAAAAATATTCATCAAGTTGATAAGCATCTAGTCAAAGATTCTTTAGAAATTTTACGGTAAGTTTGTACATTTAGTATATAAACTATTTAAAAAATTTACCATATTACTATTTTTTAGAAAAACACATAAAATTAAGTAAAATAGAAATTTAAATTGATAACACATACAAGGAAAGAATGGTTTTGTTAAAGTATAAAAATTTTGTTAAATACAGATCTGGAATAATGTAGAAGTATATATATTAAAATAATTATGTAAAATATTCAATAATTATATAATTAATAATAATATTATACAATAAAAGCTTGATATTCTAACAATCAGTTTAAGTGTTCAACTATTGCTATACAATTGTTTTAATGATTATATAAAATGATTATACAAAATTATTTTGAGATCCATGCTTAATTAAATTTTTAAATGCTTCGACAAAATTGTTTTTTTTTTTGTGTATTGAACTTAGTTGTTGCATCTGTGTTGAAAATCTAAGATTGATATTGCGTTAAATTGTGAGAATAAAAGCGATTAATTATTTTTTTTAAATAAGTATTATTAAAAAATTATAATGAAAAGCATTCTATTTATCCTAGGTAATAAGTATTCTTTTATGTATATAAATATGTACACTAAATGTGACAACCAATTATAGACATAACATTTTAGGATTTGTTTAGAATTTCTGGCATGATACAGAGATATTTAATTTTATATAATACATTTAACTTGATTTTGTTCTTTTTATAGCTTGGAGCGTGCTAGATCTAATAGATTATTGGTTCAAGAAAAATTAAAACTTATGGCAACTGTGCATCAAAGTCAACCGATGATACAATTATTGTTGTCTACACCAGATTATGTTGCAGCATTAGACCTTATTTCTACGACGCAAGAAATTCTCTTACAGGAACTGAACGGAATACATAGCTTTAGGTAAATAGAAATTCTGAAGAAATTATTTTTTATTTCTGAAGAATTTATTTGTCTATGATTTTTATTGATAAAAAATTATTGAAATATTTACAACTGTTATAAATGTTTATGTTATTTAGACATTTGAGTTCTCAACTAACCGAAATGGAGAAGCTTGTGGACAAAATGCTGTCGACCGAGTTTCAAAGATATGCAACAGCGGATCTCAATAGGCCATTAGGTGGCGAGAATACCGTTTTAGATGGCGTAAGTACATAAAAAATGTTACATCACATTGTATTCTTTGTTTGTAGTAAACGAACTTCTGTACATCTCTTCCAAGTGAGATTATTTAGATAATTTCAATGAACAGGATAAATTAGTCTCCATCATTTCTGGTCTACTGCGTCAAAAACATTTCCAATTTGTGGATACATATAAAGAGGAAGCTGTAACCACTGTGAGAGCTTTAACAAAGCAACGGGTGATAGAAGCTTTGGCAGCAAGTGATTGTTGCAGCGATCAACAAGCAGCAGCTCTTGAAATCGGAGGTCTCTCCTTGACGGAAAGATTAACTTTGCTCCACAATACTATACAGTCTTTCACATTTCTTCTATTACGAGTTAAGGTATTCAATTCAATAAACTTGTACGCTCGATGTGTATACACAGACATACATATGTATATATATATATATATATATACATATGTAAAAT